TCCTGCAAAACTATCTTTCAAAATTAATGGAGAGGACTTTCAGGAAGATGGCAGAGCAATAAACAGCAGCAACAACTCATTCTCTTTGAGATTCAGAATCTGGACACAGGAATATAATGATTTTGAGAAGAAAAGAATGAGGGAGGTGGAACTGCAAGGCCCAGGAAAGATCTGAAGGGAGATTTGGAGCTCACAGGGAAAGTGGAGAGACAGACCTCAACACAGAAAAAGTGAAGCAAGAAAATGAACAGGATTCCCAACAGAACACCAGACAGATTTTAGGAGCAAAAAAACCCTTTAATGCCAGGGACTCCATGGGGAACTCGTGTTACCCTGAATAAATCTTTGTTTCCATTTGCATACTGTTTCTTCTTCTTCTTCCTCTTTCTCTTTCTCCTCTTCTTCTGAACTGGGGATTGAACTCAGGCCTTGTGCTTGCCAGGCAAGCACTTATTCTACTGAGCTATCTCCCTGGCCCCAGTGTTTCTTTTCCATGGGGTGTTTTTTTCATTGGAAATCAGTGTGAATCAAGATTAGAGAAGCACAATAGCAGTTAAGAGGAGAGCAGTGATCAAGGGAGAGCAGGCGATTCTGGTGGAACTTTCCAAGTCTGTTAGCTCCACTCATACTACATGATAGCTGCACCCATACATAGCTGAGGTCATGACCACCAATTTCCTCAAGGAGTTTAGCTGTTCAGTTAACCCATCTGTGCCCAGTTTTAGCCCAGGAGCTGGTTTCCTTTCTCATTCTCTCTTTTGAGGCTCTGCTGTGGTCTCACCCTTTACATCAGCTTTCCTCATCTTGTTCCATCTTATCAATATCCATGTTCACATAGTCTTCCACAGATCAATCTTTAGCCCATAGCATATGGAGGTTGTTTTTTTTGATCTATGGTAGTTTCTAACAGAATTCAAGACCCACATTACCACAGGTAACAGGCAGAATAATCAAAAAGATTCCCAGGACAGCATGCTGGGAATGAATCCATCCAGCATGGTTTTAAAACCACCTAAAGTTAAGAATCATCCTCCAAATGCTGTTCCTGGGTTCTATGTTTTCCAGGTCTGGACTGGTATGTGGTCTAACTCCTGCATCATCTCAGTGATTTCTTTCTGTCTCTCTTTTTTTTCTTTCTTTCTTTTGCCACATTTTTTTATTTTTTTATGCATTTTAATGAGAAAAAAGATAAAATAGCTGTGAAATAGCTCCAAAACAGGTTAGTACAACAGTTACAATAATTAGTACATTGCATAGTGTTGTCTTCATAGTAGTTATTCAGAGGACAAGATGTATACATGATATCTTGTTTATTTTTATTTTTAAAATATTTTTATTGAGAAACAAATAGCAATGAGACAGTTTCACAACTGATTACTAGTACATTTTGAATAATTAATACATTGCATATTGTTGTCTTAGTGGTTATTTTTTGTACAAGATGCAGACCTGATATCCATCTCAAACACTATTTGAACAAACCTCTCTACTCATTGAATTAAGAGAATGGAACTGTATATATATCCTAACTATTATGAGGATATCTTGTTTAAACAATATTAGTAGAAACCTTTCTTCTCAATGAACTAAAAAAAAGTGGCTACATATTATCCTATCTTGTGTATACATGTATATATATATTTTTTTCACAACAAAATGGTATTTTATTCTGCAAAGTTAGTAACACGTGACACAAAGTTTCCTAGTGATTAATAGCTGACTTCAACTAGATAGGATGTTTATCTCAGGACTGAGGTAGCTTGTTTGCTTTAGGCACTGAGATGTCTCAGTGATTTCTTGTATCAGCCCTCCTTGATATCTCTCTCAAGGCAACAATTAAACTGAACTTCCTGCAAACTCCTCCTTACTTAGCTAGTAGGTAGTCTAGTGGCAACTATTTTGATATACTGCATTTTGAATTTGTGTCTGTTGTTTAGCTAAGACATTCATTGCACAAGCAGTTTCATTGGCTATGACTTATAGTACAGTTTGTAGTCTAATTATTCTATTTAACATATAATAAGAGTTCACTATTCCCACATTCCATCCTTGGCCCAAGTAGCCAGTACATACATAGTATTGGATTAATCTCGGGTGGCCTTTCTTTCTTTCTTTCTTTCTTTCTTTCTTTCTTTCTTTCTTTCTTTCTTTTTTTTTTGGCAGAACCGGGGATTGAACTCACACCCTTGTGTTTGCCAGGCAAGCACTTATTCTATTGAGCCATCTCCCTGGCCCCTATCAGATGGCCATTCTTCATCTTTCCAATTAGCTATGGCTATACTTTTCTCACAGGAGAGAGTGTATATAGTGTAGCTCAACAAGTCCTCTTGGTGTAAGGGCAGGAGGAAAAAGGACAGTTTCATAGTGTCCAAGATGCAACTTTCTAGCCCAATTTGCTAGGAGTTAAGCATAACTCTAGTCCCACACATCCAATGTAGCCCCTTGACAGCTGACCAATGGATGGAGGCAGTTACATTCTTTTATTCAAGGCTCAAATCTGCGAACTGGGCTAAAGGATCGAGTTTGGTTACATCTCTCCACCATTCTATGCTTCTTTTGGCCTTGTTACAGAATCTCCATCCCAGGCAATTGAGATCTCTTATCTGCTTGGAATCTTTTTGCTCTTCAGATGAGGTACCATCTTCCAGTGATGCTCACCTCTAAGACCTGTGGGTTGTTTCCCTGTAGAGGTGGCTGTATGGCCCCATTCTTATCATTTTTTCCCAATTTGAAGCCTTCATTATCAGCTTGGTCCCATTCACTGGTCTTCCACCAAGATTCCCCATCATTATAGCATGTGGTGATATTCTAGGAGTTCTAGCTCTATAAAGAGGCTTTAGGTCACAGAGGGGTTTTGTAGCAGAGGCTGGGTCACTTCCTCATAAAAGTAATGGAAAACTTGGAGGCAGGAGCTGGCTGGGATGTAAGTATATCTTTCTATATGAGCCAACATCCCTGGGTCATGGTTCCTACCATCTATTCAAAGCCTGTTTGCCTTCTTCCCATTCTGGGTTCTGGAGGTCTAAGACATTAACAGCAACTGGATTGCACATCTTGAGGGTGAGGGAGGTTGGAGGCTTTCACCTTTTCAGGGGGATCCTATTTTTCAGGTGGTCTGTCCTATAGATGACCAGCATACACAGTTAAACTCAATTATGTCACTGCACCCACTCCTATCCATTCAGGAGCACATATATTTATAATTATAGCTATAATCTCTTTAGCAGGTATCTACATCATATAACAGGAAATTTAGTTACCCCTCCTTTAGGGGGATATAGCTTTTTTTTGTCTCAGTAACAGAATTAATGGCCATACAGGCATCAAAAGGTAGGGTAACTATGTCTCCAGGTTTTGCTTTTATAGTTCTACTTGTCAAGGTTCCAAGCCATTTTCCCCTTCCCCCATATTACTCTCTATCTAGACAGCCTGAATTTAATTCCCATATTGTCCCCATTACCTGCTTGAAGCAGAGGGGTGCAGGTACCATCCTTAGGCTTACAGGTCTCTTAAAAAGGTAATGCAAATAGGTTCTGATGATTTATCCATCACAGTTACAGTAAGTGTGGAAGAGCAGAACAGTCATGATGGAATTCCTTGTCCAAGAGACAGGTAGGCAGGGTGTCACAGTTATTGGTTGCCTCTACAGGCACTGCCTCCACCTATGTCGTTCTTGATATGCAAAAGATGAGGACTCCTAATACAGACAGCTGATACCTGCAAAACTTCAAAAAGAAAATGAGAAATGGCAGGCACCTTTGGCTGCATTTCCAATCTGCTGATGCAGTCTCAGTGAGGGTTAAGGTAAGGAAAAAAGTTTGAGGCCTAACTGTGGTTGGAGAGGAGGGGTGACAGATGGCAGCAAGGAAGGTGCTCTCTGGCTTCCACTGTACTAGACAATCAGCCTCAGTTGTGACTAGAGCAGGGCTGTCCCTTACCCTGATTTGTTTTCTTGTCAAGCACTGCAATTCCCATGATGGAGTCTGGGACCTTGAGATCTCATCCTCAGGAGCAGATAGCCTCTGCACCCCACACAGCCTCCCTGCTGCTGCCTCCCCTCCTGCTGTGCTGCAAACTTGGGCGGCCTTATTGCTTTGTTCCCTTTAGTTCCACTGTCCAGTGCAGAACCATCTTCCTTCCTCTGGTGCAGCAGGGCAATACAACACTTCCTTTAGCAGCAGCAAAGCCAGCTTCGCAGATGTAATCTAGGCCAGTCCATTAATCCCATCTGTCGGTCAGGCCTAGGAGAACAAAAGTCCAACAAGCACTCTGCAGGCTTTGTTTCTAAG